GCGTCCACTTCTGGCAGCTGCACTCTACGCGCACAGCTCTGTGTCAGGAGCACAGGTGACTGGACAGGTGGCTGGTGAGAGCAGAACGGAGGCCTCTGTCCATCAGCAGACACAGCCACCAACGCCTTTCAGGTCCCCCAGAGCACTGACAGTCCCCCGAGAAAAGGGAAGTGGGACTCAACCGATGATGAAGGGAGGGACACACAGGAAAGATTTTTGGAGCCAGGTCTCAGGACACAGGCCTATAATCCCAGCTTCTTCAGGAACCTAGGTAGGAGATTTACATATTCAAAACCAGTCTGGGCTAAGGAATGAGTTGAAGGTCAGCCTGGACAAAACTGGACAGCCAGTCGCAGTAGCACACGCCTTTAATCTCTGGGAGGCAGAGATAGACGGAACTCTGGGAGTTCCAGTCCAGCCAGGGTTATGTAGAGAGAGCCTGTCTCATAAACAAACCAATAAATGGTAATCTACTCTACAGTCAGTGAGCTGGGATTCGACCCCTGATCCTGCCTGGCACTCACTAATCGCAGAACCCAGACAAGTGGGCTCGTTCCATGCTTCAGTTCCCTCCTTTGGAAATGGGGATCAGTGAAACTGAGAGTAACGAGAGAACTGACTTCCTATGACCAAACAACAGATGCCAGATGCCCAGCAGTGTCTGAATGTGAGCACAAAACAAATGTCGCATGAGTCCTCTATGCGCGGTTTTCAGCTGTGAGCCAAGCCTTTAGCGGATGAGCCACCTCTCCAGCCCGACACGTGGTTTCTTTAAAAAGTGTTTTGAAATGTCACAGAGAGGAATTCTGTACCTGTGGGTTTTGGCAGTGGTGGAGCACACCTTTCATCCCAGCACTTGGGAGGCAGAGGCAGGCAGATCTCTGAGTTCAAGGCCAGTCTGGTCTACAGAGTGAGTTCCAGGATAGCCAGGGCTACACAAGAAACCCTGTCTCAAAACATACATACATACATACATACATACATACATACATACACACATACATACATAAATGCAGATAAAAAGTATTCTACATAAGGGAGGCATGGTGGCACACATAGCACTTGCCAGGCAGAGGAGGATCTCTATAAGTTTGAGGCCAGTCATGGTTGTATATGGAGACCTTGACTTTAAAAATGTTTTAATGTATTCTATAGATATCATTTTTATTAATGAAGGCACTTAGCCCAGAACCGCACAGTAAAAGGCTAGAACGATGCTGGGAAGAAGTTCTTCTGCATCTCTGGCCATGAGACAACATAAAGACCTACAAGAAGCTCCTCCCATGGAGAAGTACAGGGAGAAGAGGTCACTCAGAGCCTCAACAGTAACTCTTTGCCTTTGTTAGACCTCTCCAGTCAATGGCTGGCCCAGTCTCTCCAACACATGGCCATCCCTGACGAAGCTGAAAGAAAGAACACTGTCAGGCTTCCTCAGGAAGCCATCACTCACAGCGTGAAAGGGCCATGCCCTGTCCAAAGCCCACGGCTTTCCATCCCATCCATGCTATGTCTATCAGAAGGGCACCTGCCTAAGAACTGAACACCACCAAGGGTTCGAATCCAAGCTGAGCTTCTTACTAGCATGCACCTTACAAAGCATCCACCAGGAGGGTACCATTGCTCCATGGCTAGATGCTGCCTCTGCCACAGCCCAGCAATGGGGTAACCTGGCGCAGACCTAACACACAGAGGTACCACATACAGGCAAACCCTAAGGTCAGACTTCCATGGAAACTGGGCGGCTCTGTAGCCTGGAATGCCCCCAGGCAACTCCCTTACCCTCCCTAGCATCTCCCCCAAACACAATGAGGCACTGTTTCCCAAAGGGTCAAGACTGCTGAGAAGTTGAAAGGAGACATGACCAGATTCCAGCAGACTAGACACTGCCAACAGCTGGCTGTGTCCCACATTAGTGGATGAGAAGGCAATGCTACCAAGCCATTTCCTGGGGACCTCCCTGGCCAGCAGGGCAGAAGCTTTAAAGGTAGCTATCAGTTATTTGGCAGCCTTTGGGTTCACCCCAGGATTAGTACAGCTCCTATGGCTTTATAATTAAGACAACCAGGTCTAGAACTTGATCGGTTTAGGTTCAAACCCCAGCTCTGCCACAGAACTTCCCCAGCTCAAGTTTCTCTATCTGTGAGGGAGATAAAAACACCTCTCTCTCCACAGCTGTAGTGAAAAAGGATAGAAAGAAAAAAGTGCTGAGCACAGTGCCTGTCTCCCGAGGAGCTCCAGGGGTCATCATCAGGCCGCTCTGTGGTCTCAGCCTCCCCAAATACATTAAGAATGTGAACACGGAGAAGAGAAGAGCCAGGGCACGGAGCAGAATCCGCGCATCTGTGCTGGGAGAACTCTGTCCAGGAAACTCCGGCCAGAACTTGAACACAAGGAGCTCCCGGCCAAACCAGCATCTAAGCTCTAATGAGAAAAGCCACCACCAAGCAGCCACCGGACAGCACAAATCGCAGAGAACACACAGGGAAGGGCAGGACACACTGTGTTTATGTTTTTCTGCCCAAAGAGCTATAAATTTGTAACTTATTAAACAGCACATGGCGATTCCCTCACTGGCCACTATGGGGAGGGGAGGAGTGAGTGCTCCAATTTATTTATTTATTTTTACCCTTAAGCCAGAAAACAAAGTTCGTAGAAGCTACGCACCCTGTGGCCTTGCCACGGGGAGACCACCCTAAAGTATCCCCTATGTAAAAGTGACCAGGACTTCCCAGCTGAGATCTCTCTTGGGAGACAAATAAAAACAAGAGGGCTGGCCATCCTGTCCACCCTAACTTAGGAAAACAGCTGACGGGCAGAGTGCTGAGCAGCCATCCAGACAGCTGACCGCCTGGGCTCAGAAACAAATTCCTCTGCCCTCCTGCACACCCAACCCCTCCACCCTAGGCTCTGGTCAACCAGGCGTGACTGGCCCCGAGAGCTCAGACGAAGGAAGTCGGGTAACAGGGATCAAACAGCTGGAGAGTCTGGGGAAGACAGCAGAAGTCACAGGTGGCAGGCCATCCCCACTGCCACCCCTCCTGCCAGTGCTCGCTTGTCCCCTTCCTGGGAAGAAACGCACACAGGAGTGGCACAGGGACCCGGCTCGGACGTGTTCCTTGGCTGTGCAGCCTTGGGTCAGAGAATCGGCCTCTGTTGGTCTCTGTTCTCCCACTTGGTTACAAAGAGGCGGTGGTGCCGGCAGTGGCCTTGGGGCCATCGTACAGGACAGCTGTCGTGAGGACGGGCAGATCCAGGCATGGGTAAGCACTCCATAAACAGCACATTTCGATTCGACAAGTCCCGTCTGCCAGACACTCTCTTTCCTTTCAAAGACAATCCTGTGTTCTGGCCCTAAATGGAAGACCGTCAGAAGATGGGAATTCCGGGCTCTGCAAACTCTACAAAGACTTCCTCAGTCCTTCAAACAGCATAGGGGCTGCCCAGAACCAAAAGAGACCTCACCAGTGTGTGAGACGCTGTGACTCGGCTCTGGCTCCCCGGTTCCCACAGGGAAACACGGAGACTTTTGGGGGCCTAATCAAAACCCCACAGCTCCAGCCTCCTTTTAGCTTAGGTATTTTTATATGGAAAAAATAAAAATTCTAAATACCTGCCTGGAAGCTGCGCCAACCTTGAGTGCGATGGGAATGTGGATGCCAAGTCTGACCCAAAGGCATAACCGTTTGGCAGCGATCCCACTCAGCGAAACAAACAGGACCCAACACCACCCCTACCTCCAGGATGTTTCATTCAGGGGCTCCCTGATCCCACAAGGCAACTGCAGTGAAATCCAATGCCTACAAATAATCCATCTTAACTTGGTGCCCTGTGAGCTTGAGAGAGGCCCCTCAGTCTTATCTACTCCCCAGAGCCAGGGACACCGATGGCACCAGTGGTCACACAAGCCACCCACAGTCCAGAGAGAGAAGACAAGGCTTCTACAGAGAAGGGAACTTATCCCACACACACCTCCTCAACTGAGGGGCCCTAGGAGGAGGAAAAGTCAGGGGCTCCTTCACTCTGGGATTCACCGGGCTCAGGGCATTCCTGGAACCCTTGCATTAATCCCTATGGGTTTAGAACCAACTTCCAGGAGAGTCTTTCTTTCCTCTGTCCTAACAAACACCAGACCAAGCGTGGACTGAAAGAACAGCCTCCAGGCTCCAATAACATGAGGACAGTGAAACTCTGTTCTGGGCATCCTGTCCTCCTTCCCGGTGTGGCTTCCAGCAGGCCTGATGCTGGCTGGGGGTGGGGAACCTTGCTAGCTAGGACACGTCCAGGGATGGCCATACCCTGCGGGCGGCCCGTTCCCTCCTCATTCCTCTGGCATTTCACCAGGGTCTGGGAACGGTGGGTGAGAGGCGGGAGTCATAACCCCACACACACACTTGTCTTTCTAAGTTTAGACTTGAAGGAGAAGGGCTGGTCTGTGAATGAAAGGCTGGTCCATACAGGTCACTAATACAGTCCGTAAATCGGGGTGAGTAGACTTGATGCGGTGGGGGGGGGGGAATCCATGCATTAGCGTGGGACACTTGTCATTCAGATGGGGGTGTGGTCCTCACAGGCTTTTCTGTAGCTTGTAATGGGAAACGGGTGGACTCCCGAAAGGGGGCCCTGACACGAGGGGGGGGGGATGACTGTCTGCAAAGTGGGAGGTGGCCTGGAGGGATCCGAAGCGGGACAGAGAGAGGGAACGGCCCCCCGAGATCGAGTCCCGCAGGCAGCCGCTTGGAGGTGGGGGTGGGGAAGCGGAGTGAGTCCCGCAACTAAGGAGGAAGGAGGTCTGCCCGGGAAGCGAGGCACCGTCTCCCCCCACCCGTGGCGAGCCGGGCGGGTCCCCGAACCTCCTCAGGAGACGCGGCGGAGAGCAGCTCGCACGGCCACGGGCCGCGGACACCGCCGTCCAGCCGGGCGCCAGGGTGGGATCGGAAACCCCAGCGCTCGCTCGCGGCCGCCGGGCCCCGGCCGCTCCGCCCTCCACCTCCCGCACTCACCGAGGTCGTCCATGGCGGGTCCGCAGAGGCCGTTCCCCGGCTCGCTGTCGCCCTCGCTGACCGTCCCGGGGCTGCTCCTCGCCGCCCCGCAACTTTTCCGCCTTCCAGTCCCGGCCCGGAACGGAACCTCAGCCGCGCTGCTGCCGCCGCCTCCACCACCACTGCCGCCGCCGCCGCCGCCACCGCCGCCGCGCGCGCCCGCGGCAAGATGGCCACGCCCCCGCGCGCACGCTGGCCACGCCCTCGCCGCCGACTCCGAGCACGCCCAGTCCCGCAGGAGCGGAGGGGGGGCGACCGGCGGGCGTGGTCGTGGCGCCCCCTTGCGGCGGAGTGGGCTGGAGTTGTCTCCGGGCCCTGACACCCTGAGTTAAGTCTGTCTCTCTCAAAGTCATTTGTCACACCGACCTTCAGACCGACGTACACACGTGTCAGTGCCACTCGAGTAGAACCGGATTTGTCCACCCGTGCATCTATTTGAGTCCCAGTGGGTCGCTTCCCAGGGGTATTAAATCGGCAAGGCCTGGATGGAGCCTTGGGATGTCCCTTCGGTTGTCCTCTGCACTGGTTCCAGAGTGGGTCACAGCAGAGCAGTGACCCAGAGGCAGTTTTTCTGAGTCAGGGTCTCTTGGTAGCTCCAGCCAGCCTGGCACTTGTGACCTTTGTGCCCTGGTCTCCTGACTGCTGAGACTAGAGGTGTCCGTGACAAATTCTGGCTCGGGATCCAGTACCTTGGAGGTTATGAAACTTTTAATCTTACTTTGTTTACCCCTTAAAACCTCCCTAGACACTGCCCAAATTCTGCACAGGGCAGAGATATCCCACATTATAATAAAGGGTTATACTAAAAATGCAGGGAGCTCCCCTACATTTAGAAACTAGATAATAAGGGCTAGAGAGATGGCTCAGAGGTTAAGAACTCTGGCTGCCTCTTCCAGAGGTCCTGAGTTCAATTCCCAGTGCCCACCTGGTGGCTCACAACCATCTGTAATGAGATCTGGTGCTCTCTTTTGACCTGCGGGCAAGGCCAGCCTGAACTACAGAGAGAGTCCGTGGAGGAGCATGGAGACCTCTCTCTCTCTCTCTCTCTTGGTTTTTCGAGACAGAATTTCTCTGCATTGTTTTGGAGGCTGGCCTTGAACTCATAGAGACCTGCCTGCCTCTGCCTCTTGAGTGCTGGGATTAAAAGCATGCCCTACCAATGCCCTGCGAGAACTATCTCAAAATTAATTTTTTGGGTTTTTGGTTTTGGTTTAGTTTTTCGAGACAGGGTTTCTCTGTGTAGCTTTGGAGGCTGTCCTGGAACTCGTTCTGTAACCAGGCTGGCTTGGAACTCACAGAGATCCACCTGCCTCTACCTCCTGAGTGCTGGGATTAAAGGAGTGATCCACCAACACAAAATTAAAATAAAAAAAAACTTTTTAAAACAAACACTCACACAAACTGAGTGTAATGACACAAGGCTGTAATCCCAGAATTTAGTAGGTAGAGGCAGGTTGATCAGGAGTTCAAAACCATCCTTAGCTCCATAGTCAGTTCAGTTCAAGGCCAGCCTGGGCTACTTAAGACCCTGTCTCAATAAAGAAATGAATAAAGAAAGTAATAACTAAATCCTGACACAAGAAATAAAGCATGCCAGACTTTAATCCCAGCCCTTGGGAGGTGGAGGCAGGAGAGTAAGGAATTCAAGGCCATTGTGGTTGCTTGAATGACAACAGCCCCATAGGTCCAAAGAAAGGGGCACTATTAGGAGGTGTGGATTGTTGAAGGAAGTGTGTCACTGGGGGGTGGGTTTTGAGATTTCAGAAGCTCAAGCCAGGCCAGTGTGCCCCTGTCACTTCCTGCTGCCTGCAGAGGATCCAGATACAGAACTCTCAACTACCTCTCCAGCTCCATGTCTGCCCATGTGCCATACTCCCACCATGATGATAATGGACTAAGCCTCTGAACTATCAGCTAGCCCCAGGTAAATGTTTTCCTTTATAAGAGTTGCTGTGGAGGGCTGGAGAGATGGCTAAGAGGTTAAGAGCACTGTCTGCTCTTCCAGAGGTCATGAGTTCAATTCCCAGCAACCACATGGTGGCTCACAACCATCCATAATGAGATGTGGTACCCTTTTCTGGCATGCAGACATACATGGAGGCAAGATGTTGTATTCATAATACATAAATAAATTTAAAAAAAAAAGAGTTGCTGTGGAGCTGGTCAGTGGTAGCGCATACCTATAGTCCCAGCACTCCTGGAGGCAGAGGCAGGTGGATCTCTGTGAGTTCAGAGGCAGCCTAGTTCACTGAGCCAGTTCCAGGACAGCAGGGTTGACAAAGAGAAACCCTGTCTCAGAAAAAAGGAAGCAAGAGTTGCTATGGCCATGGTGCTTCTTCACAGCAATGGAACCCTGGCTAAGAAGACCATCCTTGGCTACATACTCAATATAGGCAACCCTGGGTTATATAAGACTCCACCTAAAATAACTAATAAAAATTTGAAGCTAGGGCTGGAGAGATGGCTCAGAGGTTAAGAGCACTGACTGCTCTTCCAGAGGTCTTGAGTTCAATTCCCAGCAACCGCATGGTGGCTCACAACCATCCGTAAGGAGATCTGGTGCCCTCTCCTGCCTTGCAGACATACATAGAGGCAGGATGTTGTATTCATAATAAATAAATAAAATTAAAAAAAATTGAAGCTAGGCGTTGGTGACACACACCTTTAATCCCAGCAATTGGGAGGCAGAGGCAGGTAGATCTCTGTGAGTTTGAGGTTAGAGGCTCCAAAGCAATACAGAGAAACCCTGTCTCAAAAATCTAAATAAATAAGTAAATAAATGGACTCTCAACCAGGTGTGGGCACATAACTTTATTCCCAGCACACTGGAAATAGAGGCAGGTGGGTATTTGAGGCCAGCCTGGTCTACATAGTAAGTTCCAGGACAGCCAGGGATATATAATAGACAGACCCTGTCTCAAAAATATAATCCCCCAAAGTTTTTTTAAGTCTCAGTGACAAAGCACGTGCCTAGAATACCTGAAGTCCTAGGTTTAATTCCCAATACTCCCGCCAAAAGAAAGATTGAATGATGAGGTAGTTGGGATGAGAATGACCTCCATAAGCTCATATATTTGAATACATGGTCCCCATCAGGTGGAACTGTTTGGGAAGGATTGGGAGGTGTGGCCCTTGTTGGAGGAGGTATGTCCCTGGGGGATCAAGCTTCCAGGTTTCAAAAGCCCAGGCCATTCCTACTCTGTCCGCTTCCATTTTGTAGACCAAGACTTAAGCTCTCAGAATGGCCCCAGCGCCCCCGCCTGCCTGCCTGCAGCTGCTGCCACACTACCTACCTTGATCATGGACACACCCTCTGATACTGTAAGCTTCTAATGAGCTGGCCTATAAATTGCCTTGTTCATGGTGTTCTGTCACAGCAACAGAAAACTAACTAAGACAAGTGATAAAAATCAATCAATCAATCAATAAACTCTCATTAGTGTCTGGATACACATGTATTGGCACTATTTTCTAAGTCACCATGAGGTAGTTAGGGTGATGACAGTCTGTCAATTGTATATAAAAACACCTGCACACACAACTTCCGCTTTCCCTGTTGTTACTCAAGGTCCAAGGCATCAAGTTTTCTGTGCCAGGATAGAGATCAAATTAGGGGTGATGCCTGTGAAAGACAAGGGAGCAGTAAACAGGGTTGGGCAAATAGAAACTCAGAACCCACAAACATAGGGCAACCCAGCAGAGAGCCTTGGAACCAAAAGCCAAGAAGACCCCTTAGCAGAAGTCCAGCCTGTGAACTGTCCACTGTGGGAATCCCTGACGCTACAGCTGGGCCACAATACCACTAAGCCACATCGCAGATTGCCAGGGAGCACCAGGAATTTAACACGATCTACTAAACACAGAATGGAAGCCATAGCTTGTCCAGGAGGGGTAATGGGGGCACATGCCTTTAATCCCAGTGCTTGGGAGGCAGAGGCAGAGGCCAGTCTGGGTTACAAACTGAGTTCCAGCCCGACCAAGGTTACACAGTGAAACCTTGTCTCAATCAATCAAACTCAGCCAAGCAGTGGTGGCACTCTCCTTTAGTCCCACCATTAGGGAGGCAGATGCAGGAGGATCTCTGTGAGTTCGAGGCCAGCCTGCTCTACAGAATGAGTTCCAGGACTGCCAGGGCTACACAGAGAAACCCTGCCTCAAAATCAAAACAAATAAACCGCAATGCATTGTGGTAGCCCCTGCACAGATGCATGGTTACAGAGTACTTGATCTGCTGAATTCAAATACGTGGTAACTGTGGAAGGCACAATGGATTTCAGAGCTCCTCTATGGTGCTCTTCTCGTGGATGTATTATTAATTCTTTGAGAATTTTGTTCATCCTTCCCCCAACTCCTCCCAGGCCCACCACCCACCCCTTCCCTACACACCCAGTTTTGGGTTCTCTTTTTTTCCCCCCACCATATCCGATTTTTTTTTTTTTTTTGGTTTTTCGAGACAGGGTTTCTCTGTGGCTTTGGAGGCTGTCCTGGAACTCACTCGGTAGACCAGGCTGGCCTCGAACTCACAGTGATCCGCCTGCCTCTGCCTCCCTAGTGCTGGGATTAAAGGCCTGTGCCACCAACGCCCGGCTAGAATACTTTTTAAAAAAAAAACAAACAGGGTTTTGGTTTCTCTGTGTAGTTTTAGCTGTCCTGGAACTTGCTCTGTAGTCCAGGCTGGTCTCAAACTCTGTGATCTGCCTGCCTCTGCCTCCCGAGTGCTGGGACTAAAGGTGTGTGCCACCACAGCCCAGCTGCTAAAGACTGTCTTTAAAGAACCAGAATTAATAATCTGGCAGAGTGATGCTTGCCTATAATCCCAGCATAGGAGATGGAGGCCTGAGGAGCAACTCAAACACCTGCTACCTGACCTGTTTTTTTTTTTTTTTTTTTTTTGGTTTTTCGAGACAGGGTTTCTCTGTGGCTTTGGAGGCTGTCCTGGAACTGGCTCTGTAGACCAGGCTGGCCTCGAACTCACAGAGATCCGCCTGCCTCTGCCTCCCTAGTGCTGGGATTAAAGGCCTGTGCCACCAACGCCCGGCTACCTGATCTGTTTTTACAGTGAGCTCTGGGGTAACCAGGGCTACACAGTGAGACCTTGTACCCAAGAAAATGGGTGTATGGATGACATTTGTTAAACATCCATTTATCATC